GGGGCTCAACCTAAGGTCCCAGTGGCACCGCCCGCATGCGTCCGCCACCCCCCAGAACAGCCCTTGCTCCCTGCGTTTCACCCACCCAGTACAGCGCTTCGTGGCCCCATAGGGAGCTCCACCGAAGGTCCCAGTGGCACCCGCCCGCATGCGTCCGCCACCACCAGCACAGCCCTTGGCTCCCTGCGTTTCGCCCACCTAGTACAGCGTTTCGTGGCCCCATATGGGGGCTCCACCGAAGGTCCCAGTGGCACCGCCCGCATGCGTCCGCCACCACCCAGCACACACAGCCCTTGCTCCCTGCGTTTCACCCACCCAGTACAGCGCTTCGTGGCCCCATAGGGGGCTCCACCGAAGGTCCCAGTGGCACCGCCCGCATGCGTCCGCCACCACCCAGCACAGCCCTTGCCCCTTGCGTTTCACCCACCCGGTACAGCGCTTCCTGGCCCCATAGGGGGCCCCACCGAAGGTTCCAGTGGCATTGCCCGCATGCGTCCGCCACCACCCAGCACAGCCCTTGCTGCCTGCGTTTCGCCCACCCAGTATTGCGTTTCGTGGCCCCATAGGGAACTCCACCGAAGCCTCCAGTGGGACCGTCCGCATGCGCCCCAAAAGCCCAAGTTGGCCTTTTTCACCCATCCGGTACAGCGCTTCGTGGCCCCATAGGGAGCTCCACCGAACCGTCCGCATGCGTCCCACACACCCCATTTGGCATTTTCACTCACCTAGTACAGCGTTTCGTGGCACCATGGGAAGCTCCACCGACGGCCCCAGTGCTACCGCCCGCATGCGTTCCCCCCTTCCAGTGCAGCGCTTCGTGGCCCCATAGGGAGCAGGCCCGAAGAATATATTTACAATTGCGGTACCCACAACTGCATATGGTTGGGTCTTTCGCCCGGATAATTACACAGGGTTTGCGCGAACTTGCTTATCATATTTGTTGTACCATTCGATTGTTTACAGTTTTTCAAAGATGGTGCTCTCGCAACAGCGCGGGCCTCATTTTCGCATCGGTGCAGTGCTCCCGTTCAGAAAATGACGCTCCCGCATCAGCGGGTGTTATTCTTCTGGACCCCACAGGTCTCGCAGGTCTGGCAGGCACCACAGGTCCCACAGGACCTACAAGTGTCGCAGGTCGCTCAACAGGTCCCACCAGTCTGACAGGTTCTACAGGTCTACAAGTGCCACAGGTGTCGCGGGTCTCTGATTCCCCACAGGTCCAACAGGTCCAGCAGGTCCCACAGGTCCCAGAGGCGTCGCATGTCTCACAGGTCCCCCCGGTCCTGCAGGTCCCGCAGGTCCCGCCGGTGCCACGTGTCCCACAGGTCTCCCACTGCTCCCACAGGTTCCACAGGTCCCGCAGGTTCCACAGGTCCCACAGGTGTCGCAGGTCTCACAGACCCCACAGGCCACAGAGGTCACCCAGGTCGCACAGGTCCCGCATGTTTCCCTTTTCCGAATGCGCATAACACGATCGAGTCTTCTTGTGGAGTTCCAGGTCGGCTATGACACGCGTCCGCGGATAATGAAGCATCTGTGCACAGGGATGGGCGAGAGGGATAGGATGTCAGATGCGGCGCGAGCGCACCTAGCTTGTCCTCCCCCCCTCCCCCTCCTTCTCCTCCTCTTCCTCCTCCTCCTCTTCCTCCTCCTCCTCCTCCTCCTCCTCCTTCTCCTCGTCCTCTTCCTCCTCCTCCTCCTCCTCCTCCCCTCCTCCTCCTCCTCCTCCTCCTCCTCCCTCCTCCTCCTCCTCCTCCTCCTCCTCCTCCTCCTCCTCCTCCTCCTCCTCCTCCTCCTCCTCTCGTCCTCCTGCGTGGGGGGTGAGGGGGGAGGGCGGGAGAAGGCGTGCCAAGCCAGCACGCCGTCGGCATCAGGCCCCTCGACAGGGGCACCCTGCAGCAGCCACAGGGGGCAACACCGCCAGAGCACCGAGATCGCGCACTCGTATTGTGGTGCCAAAGTGGCCTCGGAACAAGACCTGACACCCCACACCCGCCTTCTGCAGGGGCCCCACTGGAGAAGTACAGCCCTGCGCACAACATGCATGCACTAATCTGCGAGCGTATTAGTGTGATGAGCGCAAAATAGGCTTCCTCCTCCTCCTCCTCCTTCTCCTCCTCCTCCTCCTCCTCCTCCTCCTCCTCGGAAGCGAGATTGGACACGAGATTGGAGATCTCGGACATGATTCGGCAGATGGGTCCAACAGTGGTCAAGGTTTGAGGTCGTGGAGTGCGCTCGTTTTCTTGGAGTCCTGTCAGCAAACCTTGACCAATGGAAAGCAGCAGAGCAGGAGTGGCGAGAGCGCACCTGCATGATCCCATCCACCCGTGCTCCAGCAGATGCCTCCGCCCGCCCCTACCGGACCCTCGCTCTGTTGGCTCCTTCCTGCCTAGCCCAGTGGTTTTCAGACCCCTCGACCCCATGCCCGATCGCGAGCGAGGTTTGCTGCACCGAGTCCTCCGCCTCCCTCCGAATTCACTGGACGGCCCCACCCTTCATTCAGGAGGGAAAGAAACACACAGACACGATTCATCGTCGATTCCCCAGAAAATATGGGAAACTATGGGAAGTGGGGGGGAAGATAGAAACCCAGAAAATATAGGAACATATAATTTTATGTGTGTATTTATGTGTGTTTGTTGGCCCCTTCATTCATTCTCTCATGAGGTGGGTGCCTGGCGGGCGACACCAGCCGCTGGCGACTTGGAGCCAGACCCACCTCTGGCGAGCAGGCGGTGTCACTGCGCAGGACTGGGGCCCCTGGCTCGGGCAACTTGAGGCTTCAAAAATCGCAGACATCACTCACCCCTCACCTCGTCCTCCTCGTCCTCCTCGTCCTCCTCCTCCTCCTCCTCCTTCTCCTCCTCTTCCCCCTCATTCAGCGAGGAAGATGTTCCAGGGGTAGCTGCGACCGTCTGAGGCGAACGGTCCCGCTCGCTGTGGGAGCAGCCCACTGCGATCGTGCACAGGTGGGCCGACGCCGTAGGCAGCGTGCCTTGGTTCAAACCGTCGCGCTCTCGCCTGTTCGCGGCCAGCCAGTTCGCGAGTCGTGGATGTAGCACCGCTGGCGCTCCACGTGTTCGAGACAACTTGCAGGGCATCATAAATTGACCCAACTCGCCACACATGGGTAGATTGTGCGGCTGGCAGGAGACCCGTCGAGCCCGTCCTCGAGGCCTCTACTTCTCCTCGTTGATCCAGTAGATGAACAATATATTCGAACCCTTACACATTCGAGGGAGATTCCAAATCACCCCGGCGCCCCCGACATCAATGTTGATCTCAGTAAAGGCGGCGCTTTGGGGTTCGAATATTTCTGTCCACTCACGCCCCCCCCGTCGCCACGCCATCCATAGTAGTTTCGGGGGGGTCTGGGGGGCTCCTTAGGCCACAGGGTTCGAATGTAATGTCCATGTACGGTCGCCCCTCTCTGCCCCGACTCTGTGCCACACCTCCTTCGGCGCAAGTGCGCTAAGTGACTCGGGGAGAAAGTCGCCCGCCTCTTTCGAAGCTGCAGCGCTCGTGGCCAGCAGTTAAAGCAGGCGCTGCTCGCCTCAACGCCCGCCTGGATTCGGGCTCATCAAGACGATCGTGGGCAGGTGGACAACCACACACAGGATTATGGTCGACTGTCCTAGGACTTGTTTTTTTGGCTGTCCTTCTTGCCCTGGTTCTTTCCCGCACTACCTCACTCGTCCCCGCCCCCCCGCTTCATGTCCCTCGCTCACTCTCCTCTCCCCTCCGATCCCATCGTTTGCATTGGGCTGGCGCTCCTTGATTTGTAAATGACGCCGCGCCGATTGTTCCGTCTTGGGGAGGGCGCCTCGGTCACCAGGGCAAGCTCCTCCTGGGACGCGGTGGGCTTGCCGTGGGATTTGCCGCGGTGTTGGCTTCGTCCACTTGGGCGCGGGACGCAAGGTTTGCCGTGGGCTTGCCGTGGTGTCGGCGTCGTCCACTTAGGCGCGTCGAGGACAAACGGCGCGGCGACATATCACCCAGTTTGGGGGCGTGAACGTGCCCATGCGTACACAGTGCTCGGCTTTTACTTTAATGGCAAAGTCTGGCACGCCGCGTCACCTCCCAAATTTCCTCCGCATACGTTAACTTACTTCGCGCAGCTCAGGCTGCCACCAGCATGTGGACGAGATCGGCACCTGCCGCGCCTCATGGTGCTTGCGTTCCTCCTCCTCCTCCTCCTCCTCCTTCTTCTTCAGGGGCAACGGTCGAGGAGAGAGGTCCGAGGTTCGAGATGTCTGACCTTCTCGTCGGTTCCCGTCGACTCTCCAGCCTCGGGGTGCGTTCGAGCAGCCGCGCCTCGCCGAAAGCGTTCCCAGGATGCTCAGATCGTCCCCAACGGCCGCCGGAGAATCGACGGCGCATGAGGAGCAGGAAGAGCAGGAGGAGGAGGAGGAATAGGAGGAGGAGGAGGAGGAGGAGGAGGAGGAGGAGGAAGAGGAAGAGGAAGACGAGGAGGAGGAGGAGGAGGAGGAGGAGGAGGAGGGAAGGCAAGGGGCAACGTCAGGGGGGGGGTCCGGCTCAGGGCGTCGACCCCCAAGCGCCCATGCAGCGCCGACGGGGGCCCGATGGCCCGCCCCGCCCGGCAGCGTGCGGTGTCGCCATCGGGGGCCTGTCGCGATCTATCGGTGGTGTGCTGCCGGAGCGAGCTCGATGTCCCCCCCTGAGCCGGTCCCCCCCCTCCTCCCCTCCCCCTCCTCCTCCTCTCTCCTCCGCCTCCTCGTCCCCCCCCTCCTCCTCCTCCTTCCCTCCTCCTCCTCCTCCTCTCTTTCTCCTCCTCCTCCTCCTCCTCCTCCTCCTCCTCCTCCTCCGCCTCCTGAGCCGGTTCCCCTGAGCCGGTCCCCCCCTGGCGGTTCCCGTGAAGAGCTGGCGGGCCAGGCCCAGCCTGGGCCCGCGGGGCGGACCTGGTAAGGGCGGCGCGCACCAGGTGGGGCGGTGCGGGGGGGGGGGGGTCGCCCTGGGGTTATTAAAGTCGGGCGTGCCCCCCTGCAGGGGGATTTCCGACGAAAAATAAAAATACCACCAACAATACCCCCAAAAGGTCAAAAAGTACAAAAGAAATAGTCCCCTGATTATTTTTTTAGCATTTTGGGATTATTTTGGGGGTATTGTTTATTTTTCGTCGAAAATCCTCCTGTAGGGGGACAGGCCCGACTTAACCCTGGGGTTGTGGAAGACGATTAGTGGAGAGGAAGCATGCTGCCAAATCATTTCCAGATGTCTAAAAGATTGTTCCACAATGTTTTCAATACGCTAAAAACATGGCTGAAACATTTTTGGAGCATGTTTTACATCTTTTAAACACATATTTAATACAATGATCGGATTGTTAGAGTGTCCAGCGTCATGGCATCCACAACCCTGGGGGGGCTCTCTCGGAAGGGCCCCGAGGCTTCTGAGAGGGCTTGTTGGACGCCGGGAGGGCCTCTGGAGAAACGGACGTTTTCGGAAGTCTTGGCTGACGCTTCCGCGCCTCGCATGCTCTCCAGCAGATGCGCCTCGCCGGGAGCTTTCCAGGGGTGCCCGGATCGCTCCGAACGGCCGCTGGAGGCTTTAGGTGTGGCCCGAAAACTACTTCGCTGATTGGATCCGCCGTACTTTGGTTGATTCTCCGACTTCAGAGTGCGTCGGACATGCAAGCTGTAGGATGTAAAAAAGCAGGGCGGATATTTCCGCCTCAGCGAAGTAAGGCGGAAAAGTTCGCCTCACGTGTGCGGAAAGTTGCGCAACTTCGTGGAGCATTTCCACCACAGTGTCCACAAAGTAGGGCGGACGTCCACAAAAGTAGGGCGGAAACAGCAACCGACAAGCAGGGCGGACATCGGCATCAAAGGAGTTTGAAAAGCAGAGCGGGAATTTCTGCCATATTCGCGAAGTCGCCAAGGAGGGCCGGAGTCAGGGCCCTGCTTTCTTGGAAGTTCGCCCGCTTTCTTGGAAGGCCGTCCCCCTCGCGCTGCCCCCTTGTGCCTGCATCCGAGAGGATCTCTGACCTCGAGTCTCTTGAGAGAAATCGAGTCGGAGTGCTTCGCCTTTGTCGGCCAGGATCAGAAGCCTCCATTCTGGGGGTTGGACTTCCATTCTGGAGGCGAGAAGTGTTCAGAGTGGAAGAAGAGCCTGCAGAATCGAGGTCGGGATTTCTTTCTGAAGGTGTTTCATTCCCTGGGCCATCGGCGCGGGCGTCCTCCCAGGTCTGCCGGAGACGCCGACCAGTTCCACGTCCGCGACAGCGGGTACGCGGAGACGAGGAGGAAGGCGCTGCTCTGTGGGGAGGGCTCTCCAGCGAGTCCCCCGTTCGGTGGCTTTCTGGGGGGGTCGTGGCCACAGCTGGTGGACGCACCCTGAGATCCCAGCGTTACAATTTTTCAAGCCGGGCAGTTTCGCCTGCTTTCGGGCTCCAGGATCATCACAGGTCGAGCCAGCTCGACCCAAGCTGCAGAATGACGGGACCTACGGCTCTGGTCGAGACTTCTCGCGATGTTGAATTTCTCTCGCAACGTTGGATCTCGGGGGTCCGGGGGCTGGCCGGCAGCAGCCAACAGGGGCGGGCACGACGAGGGGGTGGGCGCTCCCTGAAGCGATCTGGCAGGTTCAGCAGGGGCGTTCCAATACAATCGAGAAGATGACTAAGAAACCTCTCCCGAAAAGCTGGGCCAGCGTTTCTTGATCGACTTGGCGGAAAGCTGGCCCAGTTTCTGAAGCAGATTCGCCCCGTATCGCCAACGCGACAAATTGGCCCAGGCTTGTTTTAAGAAACTTCTGTGAAGTTTCTTAAGTGATGTGTGCCCAGCTGGCACCTGCTGTGTCCGCCGCCTTGCAGGGGATAGACGATCGCTCTCAGCTCGGAATCCAAATTTTCAGCTCCAGTCGATGTCCATCGTGTTGTGAGTGATCCCCTCCTTCTCCTCCTGTCCGCGGCCGCGCCCTGTCCGTGTTCTCTCTTCATGCTGCCGGCTGAGTAGTGCTTGCCATCTGCCGCGCCGCGACGCATTGAGCGAGGCTCCTTCGGCAGGGACTGAAGAGGTGTGCGTGGGGCGCGGCCTTTGCGGCCAAGCCGAGTCCAACGCAGAAAACACGGTCGTAGAGGTCTCGTCTCCGAGGCGCCGAGGGGGTCGCCCTCTCGCCCTCGGCGGAGGCGGGCGGAGGGCCCGCTGGAGCCGGCGGCAGCAGAGGCGCGCCCCTGCAGGCGAGGGGGACGCCGGCGTTCGCGTGGTTTGCACCGTCGGGTCGCCAGAGGAGAAGCGGGTCCTGAGGAAAGCGGCTCCTGAGGCTTGTCGCCGTTTTTGGCTTCCCTGGCCCCCCACGGGCCCCAGGACTGTCAGAAAACGGTTCAGGATGAAAAGCTCGTCCCCGGGGGAAGGCACCAGGGTCCAGGATTCGTTGCCCCCAGGACCCGTTCCCCCCCCTGCAAAGTCGGGGCTCGCGCAACGGGGGTCAGCGCTGACGGAGGTCAGGGCGGCCCCTCTGGCTGCTGCGGGCTTGGGAGGCACAAGAGTGACATGCGACGGCCTTCTGACAACTACTCCAACCGCCGATCGATTCACATGTTACTGCCTCCTGTCGTCACTCGAGCAGTTGCCTCCGAGCAGCATAATACTAGCACGCACGTAGGGCCGAGTACTCTTTTTCCGCCCCTCCGCTGGCCTGGGCATGGGCGCTACTGAGCGGCTGGCAAGGCTTCGCGACAAGGCCGGCCCAGGGTTGGGCTGGCCCGGGTCGGTGCGTCGCCGAGGCGCCCGGCCCTCTTGCGGCATCCCAGGGCTGTCTGGGGCACCTCGACTGGCCCGCCCACGGAGTAGAGTCCATGCTGTGCTATAGCTGTTACGTGTCCTGGGTGGCCTTTGCGCTGTCGTCCATGATGGGCGCCACGGCCCACGGAAGTCACAGTACGCATGTGCAAGATATGTTTCTTGTGCCTAGACGTCGCGGCGCTTGTGAGTGCAAGAGGATGCCCGTGGGGTGTAGTGCCCTCCTCCTCCACCTTCTCCTCCTCCTCCTCCTCCTCCTCCTCCACCTCCTCCACCTCCTCCTCCTCCTCCTCCTCCTCCTCCTCCTCCTCCTCCTCCCCCCTCCTCCTCCTCCTCCTCCTTCCCCCCTGATCGTAATTATTCCTCCTCCTCTTCCATCCCTCTTCCTTGTGAATAACTCCTCCCTGTCGCACGCCGAGACGATTCGGTAGAGCGGGCCTGGCGGTTTGCCTTAGACTTCCCCACCAGTCATAATCCTGAAGCTTGGCATTTGCAAGAGTTTTGCGGATGGAGGGCGGGTCGTTTTCAACATGTAATTATCGCCTCAGCGCCGCGCACACTCGTCTTACAAGTTTGCAAGAGCTTCACGGATGGAGGGCGGGCCGTTTTCAAAATGTGGCTCTCGCCGCAGCGCCGCGCACATTCAAGTTAAAAGTTTGCCAGAGCTTCACGGATGGAAGGCGTGCCGTTTTCAAAATGTGGCTCTCGCAGTAGCACTGCGCACGTTCGTCTTAAGAGTTTGCAGGAGCTTCACGGATGGAGGGCGGGCCGTTTTCAAAATGTGGCTCTCGCAGTAGCGCTGCGCACGTTCGTCTAAAGAGTTTGCCAGAGCTTCACGGATGGAGGGCGGGCCGTTTTCGCTCTCGCAGTAGCACTGCGCACGTTCTTCTTAAGAGTTTGCAGGAGCTTCACGGATGGAGGGCGGGCTGGTTTCAAACTGTGGTTCTCGCTTGAGCTCCGCGCACATTCGTCTTAGAGCACTACAAGAGCTTCACGGGTGGAGGGAGGTTTTTTTGATTCAACATGTGGCTATCGCCTTAGTGCCGTGCACGTTCGTCTCAACAGTCTACAGTTGTGTCGAGGATTCTTATGGCCGACGTCCTTAAAAAACGGTGTTTGGGCATGATTTCGGGCTGCCAGGGCGCGACAGTCACGTCGATTCGCGGAGTTTGGCATCCCAGAAGCGGCGCCCTGGTACGGTTTAGGATCGTCCGAGCGCAGCAGTAACGTTGATCCGCGGAGCTGAAGTCCCAGAGATGGTGTCATTCCCAGTTGAGGATTTGGCGTGGCAGGCGTGGCGCTCCCAGGAGTCATACGTTCACAAAGCGTGGCAGGCGCGGCACTTCCCGGACACCAGAGAGGGTGTGCGGGGGCTGGGAGCGCTGTCCGTGGTGCGCTCGCAAACCGTGACAGGCGTGGAACTTCCTGGACACCAGAAGTGTGCGCAGGGGGTGTGGGCGGCGCTATCCGTCGCACGTCGCTCGCAACGCGTCGCAGGCGCTGCAGGGGGTGGTGGGCGCTACCCGTCGTACGCTCGAGAACCGTGCAAGGTGCGGCGCGAGAGGGGGCTCGCTGGGGGTGGGGGACGCTATCCGTCGCACGTTCGGCGCATGTCATCAGTTACGTCCACACAGGCACTCATAGAGAACAGTAGACACCCTGGCTCAGGCCAGCTCGTCGCACACGCAGGCGCGCGTGGATTTACAATCAGCGGCAGCAAACGTCCCCATGCTGCGCGCGGCAGTCATGCCGCTCAAACTTGCCACGGACGCATTGCCCCCGCCGCACTTCAAGCTGAAGAACGCTATGATTGATATGGGCTTCGATATTTGTTGGAAGGCTTGCGCAACTACGTTGGCAAGCAAAGTATTGACCGGCGCGGCGACGCCGCTTCGCTGCATCACGAAGACGCACGCCCATCGCAAACTCGAGCAAAGCAGGGCGCAATATGAACTGCCCACGCAGGACCTCACACGGGTGTGTAGGGCTCCTCGGTAGCATAATTCCTGTGGGATTAGAGAGTTAGCAAAGTATGAGGGCACCTCCTGCTCGCTGAAGGATGTTCGTGTCTTCACGGACGACGATTGATCGATATCCGAGGGAATTCTACGACTCAGCACGGTCATATGTCACGTATTTGATGTGGGGGTAATACGTAGATGCGCGTGATGCTTGAGGTGGTAGCACAAATCGGCACGGGTGCGATTTTCCCTGATGAGAAAGTGATGGAAGCCGGACCTCAGGTCGGAAACATCACATATGCATCACAGGTGATCGCCGTCAAATCACATGCCCCTACACGAGGCAGAACATCAGAGTCGCCCAGGGGGGCCAAACGGAAAATACCGTGCCATGCTACGGGGGTGCGAAAGTTTTTGACCATCGGCGGAGAACTGCTCGGCTGATCCTGCGTGCCGCCGGCGACCGACGAGGACGCAGACGCGCCTCGACGCTGATTCACGAACTTTCGTGAACCCCCTCGGATGGCCAACCAGTGGAGCATGAGCGACCGCGTCGGATAAGGAAGCACAGGGCCGGGCCGCATCAGAACGACAGCGAATACTTTAAAGGTTCGCGTGGAGAATAGCATGACAACGACAATGAGCAAGATCCTCTTGACAACCCGAAATGCCCGAGCGCGGAGTGATTTACGTGTTGCGGCTCCAGGGCGGAGTGATTGTTGGTCCTCTTTTCGATGGGGCGGAGTGGCTATCAACTTGATTATATGTAATGAGTATTCCTGTTTTTCCACTTGAAGGGTACGAGCCCATCGGATTCGGACCGCTGCCTGACCGAGCACACGTCGCTAAGATTCCACGGGGGGTTGGGGTGGGGTGGCGTCAGAAGCCTTGCGTCTAGTGGTCAAAACTATAGTACCCCCATACAGTAATTGTTCGTCAGCTTTTAGCCTCAGCGCTATCTTGGGTCTCTCTCGATTAGTCCGTTGGCGAGCACGGAGAAACAAAACAATGCCTTCTGAGATCGTACACGCAGCGTTCAAACATGGCGTTCTGGACATATTGAAAGAACAGGCGCGCTTATTTCTAGCAAATAAGAAAATCCAATTCCTATCTGCGAGTTTTAAAGTGAGAAGACGTAAGTAAGGACACGCCTGGGACCTACTTAAATCACATTAGGTATCCATTTCATGGCGCGGGCACGAATCATCCGGAAATTGCTGCACGCGCGGATTGTACCATCATCTCAACCGACAAGAATGTTTTCACCCACGGGAACCATTTTTACACCCATGAGTTCGACGACAAAGACAGGGCGTCGGCTCAGACATATGCGGGGGCAGTTGCTCGAAATTTGGGTTACGCGTTGTGATACCGCCGTCTGTTTGAGTGCGATGTGAGCGGGCCGCAAAAATGGAGCAGCTCCAACTGGGCAGCGAGCGCTGTGAATGCGAGTAAGAGAAGAAAAGTCGGGAGGAGAACGAGAATTTGCAGGGAGCTGGAGACAGACGACACGAAGAGAGAGCAGGAGGAGGAGGAGGGGGACTGATGGCGACCTCTTGCACAAAAAAACCTACGTATTTGTTCCCTGCTTCCGCGCTGCACAATTCAATGCAACGCCGGCGCTCAAATATGGTAAGACGTGGAAGCAGTCAGAAAAATCGAAAAGCATGTGCTTCTTATTTGCTGCGTCTCCCCAACCAGCTTGTCAAGCAGGTTCTTACATCTTGCTTGTGAGGCCAGGTGTGAGCCCTTCCAGATCTGGAGTCGGTGGGTCTTGGCCCGTGGTCTCCCGCACGGTCCCCCGCATTGTCTCCTGTGTCGTCTCCCGCATGCTCTCCCGCATCGCCTCCCGTAGCGTCTCTCGTCTGATCTCTCGTATGCTCAAGGAGGGCCGTCCCCCCCCCGACCCTACCCCCGCCCTGACCTAGGATGCAACCTCTGGGAGATTCATTCAGAATCGGCGCTTGTATGTATCCATAGTCGAAAACTAGCCTATCCCGCCAAGTCCAGTTTAATCCGGCCCGGCCTTATCCCGCTCATAATCCGGCCGAACCTTGGGCTCAATCCGGCCTTATCCAGCTCAGTGGCCTTTTAAGCGGGCTTCCCCCGGATCTGCCGTAGCGAATACATCACAACACCGCGAAACACCACGGCCAGAACCCCAGATCCCACCTTCTGCTGCATTCTTCGAGCCGGATCGATCTGCGAGGGGGAGGGGGAGGGGGAGGGGGAGGGGGAGGGGAGGAGGAGGAGGAGGAGGAGGAGGAGGAGGAGGAGGAGGAGGAGGAGGAGGCGGAGGAGGAGGAGGAGGAGCGGGGCGAAGGCTTCCCAGAGGCTGCCTCCCAAGTCCCCGCCCTGCCCCCCCGCCGCCTGGGAGCCATGGTGACCTGCGCCGCGCCCGCCGCGGAGGCGGGCGCCGAGCAGGCCTCGGCCTGGCTGCGGCGGGCCGCCGCTTTGTGCGCCGACGCGGAGCCCGACGAGGGCGCCGACGACGACGACGTCGACGACAACGACGACAACGGCGACGACGACGACGACGACGACGACGACGACGACGACGACGACGACGACGACGACGACGACCCACGACGACCCACGATCCCCGCCGACGTGTGCGGGGATCGACGTTCGATCCATACCCCTTCAAAAGAGGAAAAGGCGCCGATACCGCTACTCTGGCCTTTTTCGCCTCTTTGGGCCTCGGGGGAGGCCCTTGTCGCCACCGCTGGATTCGCTCCGAAAGTCTGGTCAGAACGCACCCCAAGAGAGGTCTGGGGAGTAGCGGTAACGGTACCTTCTTTGCCTCCCCACTTTCCGACCGCCAGGGGATGGCAGGGCAAGGATAAAAAAACGTGGTGCTCAGAGGCTGGACTTTTATACATGCCCCTAATTACTCCGCCCCCTCGTAGAGTCCTGGCGTTAGTGGGGATATGGATGGGTATGGATAAAACAGTGATCACCCAGGCGCGGCGGGACCCGCGGAGCTGCTGCAGGATCGGCCACACGCAAGAGTGACCTTTCACGGGGGTGACCTTTGGTGCGGGCCGAATGCCTTGATTCCAGATCCGCCGTACTTTGGCTAATGTTCCGTCGTGTAATGCGCAGGAAATTCAACCCAAATGATGCGAAAAAGTTGGGCGGGAATGTCCGCCTAAGAAAAGAAGGGCGGATACTCCCGCAACCGTATGGCGGAAACAGCGGCGGCAAAGCAGGACGGAAATTTGTATCAAAGGAGCATGAAACTGAAATTTCCGCCCTACTTGCAAAATCGCCCAGGATAGGGCGGATCCAGAGTCAGGGTGGCCTCACCCGATCGTTGACTACGCTGCGATGGCATCGCCTTGCGCGCCTGTTTGTGTCCCCAAAGGGCCCCCCCATCTTTAGGGCCCCCCCTCTTTAGACCCTGGGTTGCTCTTCCGTGTAGCCGACAGGAGGAGCTGTCGCTGCTGCGGCAGCTTCACAGCGAGGCCGTAGACTCCGCCTTCCTGCGGGAGCTCGAGGGAGCGGCGAACCCTGAGATCTGGGCGTTGCAGTTCTTTCACGCCGTATGTTTTCCCGCAGTTTCGGGCTCCAGGACCATCACAGATCGATCTGGCTCGGAACATGTAGCAGAAATAGGGGGTCCAGAGTTCCGGTCGCGATTTTCCGCAATATTGTAAGTGTTTCGCAACGTCGGATCTCAGTTCACATGTCCATCGTGGATGTTCGGTCGCATCGGCTCATTCCGCGCGGGGGCCACCCGCGAACAAGACGCCAGTGGGGTCGCGGCCCGCGAGGCCGCTGACATGGACATGGTCAGGAGAGCATGTCGCGCCGCCGCTTCTGGCCCACCACGCCTCAGCACGACACGCCAACCACGTCCGAGGAGGAGGAGGAGGAGGAGGAGGAGGAGGAGGAGGAAGAGGAGGAGGAGGAGGAGGAGGAGGAGGACCAGAGTTAAACCCAAGATGCATCAGCCGATGCCGCAATGCACCCCGTCCCGAGTCCCCTCGCCGCAAGTCCGTGCAAGGGTTCCTGTCCTTTTGCGGGCGCCCCCCCCTGGAACGACGAGCGGCCGGTCGGTCCGGCAGACGAGGGCGCTTGTTGCAAAGGATCCTCCTGTTGCTTGAAGGACGCCCGGGGTGGCCTCATGTTGAGAAGCGCAGGGCCTCCATCTGTCTACGCTGCAGGATGTCGACGTCGCGGAAGAGTGCTCCGCGGAAAAGTCCAACGCGGGAGCCCTCCAAGAAGGCCCAGGGATAGCTCAACGTCGTGGACGTGTGCTTCGCGGAAGAAGTCTCACGCGAGAGCCTCATTTCGAAAGAGCAGCCGCCCTCCATTTGTGTTTAGTTGTTGCACTGTGTGGAACGCAGGGTCGTAGAGGTCGAGGAAGAGTCAAGAGAGTGTAGATGGTGGACGTTGTGTTCGAATGTTTGCGAAGCCAAAGGTAGACTCCAATACAGTGGGGGGCGTTCTTTGAGGAATATGCCACGATATGCCAAGGAGGCTGCAGACCCATGAAGGTTTCTTATCTGATGAGGGCGGCGGTGATGTCCACGGCCGATCCACGACTGGAGTTCCACCAGCTTCTAGACCCTGGATTCCTGACCTAAGGATTCCTTGTCCAATGCCCCCACCGTCTTGGAAAGGACTCGCCATCCACTTGTGCAGCCGAGCACAACTTGAAAGGCAGGTATGCACAGCGCCAGAGCGAGAGCCCTTTTTGAAAGCAACCCGCCCTCTATCTGCTCGTTGGTAGTGTAAAGCGAAGGTGTGCGGCGCCAGCACAGCGAGAGCCCCATTGTGAAAACCGTTCGTGGTCCACGCGTCAACGCGTTCTGAATTCATCTGTTCCTTGAGGCCTCCTGCGGCGACGGGGACGATGAAGATGAGGATGCGGATGCTGTTGGTGCTGGTGGCGGTGGTGAGTCTGGGAGCGCTTGGGGAGGGATTATAGCGTCTGGGAGCGTCTGGGAGCGCTTGTGGCAGCCTGGACAGCCTGGGGAGGGCTTGTGTCCCCAAATCGGAGTTGGCGAGGGGTGCCCGAAGCGTATCGGTGTTTTCCCCCAACAGTATTCGCATTTAGGGGTTATTAGTTGTGCTTTAAGGAGCGGAGTCGTGTGGACGGTCTGGCGGCTCCGTGCCAGCTGTGGCCGCCCCGTCGCCGCCTCGTCGGCGCCCGTCGCCTGGGCCGTGTGGGCGGTTTGGCGACTCCGTGCTGGCCATCGCCGCCCCGTCGCCGCCTCGTCGCCGCTCGCCGCCGCCATTGAATTGCGCCACATATGTTGCACACAAATTAGCCCGACAAAGGACCCAACCATATGCAGCTGCGAGTACCGCATTGTGGGTACCGCTTTCGGTGGAGCTCCCTGCGGGGCCACGAACCGCGTAAGAAGTATGCCAAAATGGGTAGCAGTCCCCGCATGCGGCCTGTGCCGCTGGGGCCTTCGGTGGAGCTTCCTGTGAGGCCACGAACCGCGTGAGGGGTGTGCCGGTGTGCCAACATGGGTGGCGGTTCCCGCATGCGGCCTGTGCCATTGGGGCCTTCGGTGGAGGTCCCTGTGGGGCCACGAACCGTGTGAGGGATGTGCCAAAATGAGCGCGGTCCCCGCATGCGGCCTGTGCCACTGGGGCCTTCGGTGGAGCTCCTTGTGGGGCCACGAGCCGTGTGAGGGGTGTGCCAAAATGGGTGGCGGTCCCCGCATGCGGCCTGTGCCATTGGGGCCTTCGGTGGAGGTCCCTGTGGGGCCACGGAACTTTGTGAGGGATGTGCCGAATAGGTGGCGGTCCCCGCATGCGGCCTGTGCCACTGGGGCCTTCGGTGGAGCTCCCTAAGGGGCCACGAACCGTGTGAGGGGTGTGCCAAAATGGGTTCGGTCCCCGCATGCGGCCTGTGCCATTGGGGCCTTCGGTGGAGGTCCCTGTGGGGCCACGGAACTTGTGAGGGGTGTGCCAAACTGGGTGGCGGTCCCCGCATGCGGCCTGTGCCATTGGGGCTTTCGGTGGAGGTCCCTGTGGGGCCACGGAACTTTGTGAGGGGTGTGCCGAATAGGTGGCGGTCCCCGCATGCGACATGTGCCACGGTGGCCTTCGGTGGAGCTCCTTGTGGGACCACGAGCCGTGTTAGGGGTGTGCCAAAATGGGTGGCGGTCCCCGCATGCGGCCTGTGCCACTGGGGCCTTCGGTGGAGCCCCCTGTGGGGCCGCGAACCGTGTGAGGGGTGTGACAAAATGGGTGGCGGTCCCCGCGTGCGGCCTGCGCCAATGTGGCCTTCGGTGGAGGTCCCTGTTGGGCCACGAACCGCGTGATGGGTGCGGCCCCCGCGTGCGACATGTGCCACTGTGGCCTTCGGTGGAGCTCCTTGTGGGACCACGAACCGTGTGAGGAGTGTGCCAAAATGAGCGCGGTCCCCGCATGCGGCCTGTGCCACTGGGGCCTTCGGTGGAGCTCCTTGTGGGGCCACGAATCGTTTGAGGGGTGTGCCAAAATGAGCGCGGTCCCCGCATGCGGCCTGTACCACTGGGGCCTTAGGTGGAGCTCCCTGTGGGGCCACGAGCCGTGTGAGGGGTGTGCCAAAATGGATGCGGTCCCCGCATGCCGCCTGTGCCACTGGGGCCTTCGGTGGAGTTCCTTGTGGGGCCACGAGCCGTGTGAGGGGTGTGCCAAAATGGATGCGGTCCCCGCATGCGGCCTGTGCCACTGGGGCCTTCGGTGGAGTTCCCTATGGGGCCACGAACCGTGTGAGGGTGTGCCAAAATTTGCGGCGGTCCCCGCGTGCGGCCTGTGCCATTGGGGCCTTCGGTGGAGCTCCTTGTGGGGCCACGAGCCGTGTGAGGGTGTGCCAGAATGAGCGGGATGATGCTGATGGTGACGATAAGGAGGAGGAGGAGGAGGAGGAGGAGGAGGAGGAGGAAGAGGAGGAGGAGGAGGAGGAGGAGGAAAGGAAAAAGGAGGAGTGAGGAGGAGGTGACGCGGGGCGCTGTCTCTTCAAAACGGGGACCCAACACCACATGATGGTTGGGAACAACTCAGGCTCCCCCCGATATCCTTGCTGGCACATCACCAGTACCTCGCGGCGGAGGAGGAGGAGGAGGAGGAGGAGGAGGAGGAGGAGGAGGAGGAAGAGGAGTGAGGAGGTGACGCGGGGCGCTGTCTCGTCAAAACGAGGACCCAACCACACAGGATGGTTGGGGAAAAACGCGCCTGCAGCTGCGGCGCTCTTTTAGATCGCACGCAGCATACATCGCACCACATATACTGGACAACCACCTTTTTGTACCAGAGAGATTGGCCACACAGATATAACATGATACATTGCACATATCACAGCATAACATGTATATTGCACAGCATAAATTACACCACCTAGATTGCACTGCATCGGTTGCACCGCGTATACTTCGCCACTTAGATTGCACAACAGTGATTGCCCCACATGGCTTGCACCACATAGAGTGCACGAGCAACATATAGGCAACACCTTGAGTACACAGCTTATTCGGCTGCAGTCCAATCGATTGCAATCCAATCGATAGCAGCCCAGACGATTGCATTCAAATCGCTTGCAATCGTCTGCACCGCATAATTGGTATCGGTGTATTAGTTTGGTTTGCCTCTTCTGCTTAGGCTAGGCTCTTCGAGGCCAGAGGGTGGGTCGATGTTGAAGATCCGCAAATGCGCACCGAAAACAGTTTTTGAATAGGTTGGTGAGGGTTGGTTCGGATGGCTGTGCATCGATTTTACCTTGCATCGGATGGTGTGGGTTGGGTCGGGTGGATGCGCGCAGGATTGTTTTTACATCAGATGCTGAGGGTAGGGCCGTATGTATGTACACCGAAGAGTATGTTGTTGGATAGGATGGCGAGGGTTGGGTCGGGTGGATGCGCACCAATCGCATCTTGTGCGTAGAATGGTGACGGTTGGGTCGATGTGCGCCGGGTAGTTGTTTTCAGAGGATGGTGAGGGTTTGCATCGGATGGTGACGGTTGGGTCGTATGGATGCGCGCAGCCCTAAGGCGAGAGCCACATTTCAAAAAGGAGCCCGTCTCCATCATTGAAGCTGTTGTAAGCTTTTCAGACGAACTCGCGCGGAGGAGCTAATGCGAAAGCCACATTTTGAAACGGACCAGCCTCCATCGTTGAAGCTGTCGCAGTGTTTTCAAACGAGCGTGCGCGGCGTTCAGGCGAGAGCCACATCTTGTAATTCGCCCGGGCTCCAGCCCGCCCGCGCCGCCCCGAAGGGGCCTGCCGGCCCGCCGGCCGGCGGACTCGCGCGTCTGCCGTCTGCCGTCCATCCTGGAAGTTGTTGCAAATTTCATACCTCAGGATCACAGTTGACGCGGAAGTCTCAGGCGAAATCCCTGGCCCTCCCCACGAGCGTCCCGTGGTGCGACAGGGCGGAGTAATCTATACAGAGGCGGAGGCGGAGGAGGGAGGAAGCGGAAGAGGAAGAGGAGGAGGAGGAGGAGGAGGAGGAGGAGGAGGAGGAGGAGGAGGAGACGCAAGAAGAGGAGACGCAGGAGGAGGAGGAGGAGGAGGAGGAGGAAGGAGGAGGAGGAGGAAGAGACCGCACGTTGCCCGCCCGCGAGGAGCTCTGGAGCGCCTCCGGGGGCTGGGCTTCGCTGCGGCGGCGGGAGGCCCAGCTGAGGGCGCTCGCGCTGGAGCACCTCGGCGCCTGCCACTGGAGTCTCGGGAGGGTCTCATCTAGGCCTCCCAGATTCACCACCCACCAAACCACCCCAACCCAACCCGAAGGCCTCAATTTGCCCTCCATTTCCAGTTGGGGGGGGTCGGGGAACATCGAAAAAACACGTATGGAGCCCGTACCCCCCCCAACCCGAAATTGGGGTCTTCGGGTTGGGTTGGGGTGGTCTGGTAGGTAGTCACAGATGGTGTCCGAGAAGACGGGGCCGCAGGATCCGCACCGCCGATGCATCGGCGCTGCGGCTCGAGGCTCGACGCGGAGCCCAGTTTCCTCCACGTCGATGTCGCCGATGCATCGCGGACGTCGACGACGTATCGCCGATGCGTCGCCGATTCGTCGCCGATGCATCGGCGATGCATCGGCGATACGGTGCGATCCTCCGACCCCATTTGCTCGGGCCCCATTTGGGAGGCTTCTGTATCAGTGGCACGCCGCCGTTGGCCGGAGGAGTATTAACAGGTACCAGCACCGCTGCCATTCCCTCGTTTTCGCCATCGAGGGCGCTTCGTGGGAGGCCCTCGTCGCCACGGCTGGATTCGCTTCGAAGTCCTGGTCCGAACGCACCCGGGGCGAGGTCTGGGGAGAGCCTGGAAGGCGGAAGCGAGGGTCAGTCTGGAGCCGGCGGGCGGGCTTGAGGCGTCCCAGCTCTGGCTCTGGCCAGCAGCAGACCGTGCTCTGACTCCGGATCCGCCCTACTTTGGGGGAATTCGTAAGTAGGGCTTGGAATTCCCGCCTTACTTTTCAAGCCCCGCTGATGCCAATTTCCGCCCTACTTTTCTGTTGTTGTTTCCGCCCTACTTCTGTGGATGTTCGCCCCATTTTATGTTGGGTGCAGAAATTTCCGCCCTACTTTTTCGGCTCCTTATCTGTGGATTTCCGACGCAATTTTAAGTTGGAAAAAAAGCCAAAGTAGGGCGGATCTGGAGTCAGGGTGGCCCCCTCGTCGCCACGGTTGGGCGCGATTGGGAAGCTGGTCAGCCTCGACCCCGGGAGGGTTCTGGGGGCCGATTGTAAGGTCGGCTCGGAAAGCGCCGCGGAACGATGGGGTCCGGGCTCCAGCCGGTATCTTTCTTCGAAGTATTGCATTGTTTCGCAACGCCGGATCTCAGGGTGTGGAGGCATCAATGATACTCCAGATTTCGTAATAAAAGGGAGGGGGTCTGGACCCTCCAAGACAAGCCATTTCAGACCCCCCCCCGTGGGAGAACCCTCCAAAACATCGTCCCCAGGCCCCCCCAGGCCCTCCAAGATAGCTTGGAAAAGACCCCCCCCCGAAATGAGACCCCCCTCCCTTTATTAGGAAATCTGGAGTACGCCGCCGTGGGTAACCTGTCAGCGCGCTGCTCCTGAAGAGTCGCCAGGTCTTCGAAGCGAAACGCAGGAGCAACACGGGAAAACGTGCAGGAGGCAGCGAAATCGTCCGAGGACATGTGACCTCGCCAACCCGGTGTGGAAAAATGTAACGCCCGGATCTCGGGTATTTGCTGTTCTTGTTCCCGCAGGAGCGGCCAGTCGTCCAAGCTGAATGGTGACTGGGAGCTGCTCTGCGTCCCCTACGTGCAGGAGCTGCACGAGCCCAGGGGGAAGTGAGAGTGGTAGGCAGGCCTTCTCAGAAGGCGGCGAGGCTTCTCAGAAGCCTTCAAGTCTTCCGAGAAGCCTGCGGCTTCGGAGAAGGCTCTCAAGGCTTCTCAGAAGGCGCGAGCGTTTCTGAGAAGCCCTTCCTCCTTCTGAGGAGGCCTGGCGGTTTGGGGGTCATAACTCGGCTCTCCTGTGGCCGTTCTGGACGGTCCAAGCGCGCCCAAAACGCCCTCGGCGAGGCGCGGCCGCTGAAGAGCACCTCGAGGCCAGAAAATCGCCGAGAACCGACGAAAAAGCGCCCGAAGACCTCAAACCTCGAGACTCGAAGCCTGCCCCCCTCTGACTTCCCCGAACGAGGAAGAGGAGGAGGAGGAGGAGGAGGAGGAGGAGGAGGAGGAGGAGGAGGGGAGGAAGAGGACACGCGCAAGAAGAGGAGACGCAAGAGGAGGAGGAGGAGGAGGAGGAGGAGGAAGGAGGAGGATGAGGAGGATGGAGAGGAGGAGGGAAGGAGGAGGAGGAGGAGGAGAAAGAGGAGAAGGAGGAGGCGGAGGAGGGAGCAAGAGGAGGAGGAGGGGAGGAGGAGGAGGAGGAGAGGAGGAGGAGGAGGAGGAGGAAGAGGAGGAGAAAAAGAAAGGAGGGAGGAGTAAGAGGACCGCAAGAAGAGGAGGACGCAGGAGGAGAGGACGAGGAGAGGAAGAGAGAGGAAGAGGAGGAGGCGAGGAGGAGCAAGAGGAGGAGAGAGAGGAGGAGGAGGAGGAGGAGGAGAGGCAGAGGAGGAGGAGGAGGAGGAGGAGGAGGAGGAGGAAGAGGAGGAGGAGGAGGAGGAGCAGGAAGAGGAGAGGAGGAGGAGGGGAGAGGAGAGGAGGAGGAGGGAGGAGGAGGAGGAGGAGGAGGAGGAGGGAGGAGGAGGAGGAGGAGGAGGAGGAGGACCAGGAGGAGGAGGAGGTGGAGGAGGAGGCAGAACTGAGGAGAGAGGAGGCAGGCAGGGAGGAGGAGGGCCTGGGCTCGCCGCTGGCAGGAGCTGCCGCGAGAGGTCGCCGAGGCGGTCGCCCGCGCGCCGCGGGCTGGGGCAGCGGGCGGCGGCGAGGAGCCGTCGGCGGCGCTCGCCGCGGCCACGGAGGAGGCGGAGCGGTGCAGCAAAGTGACGAGCGAACAACTCACACCCATACCCATACAACCCTCGTCAAAAATAAACTGAGGGATTCTGTTTTCGGTGATTGTATGGTCAGCGCTACTCCAATGCTGACGCTACATATCTGACGTGGACGCAAGGGCTTCAAAAATCCGACGACCCCTCCGCAGCATTGAAGACCGCAGTTTCTAACACGTGCCCGAGAAGATCGATCGTCGTGATTTCCAACTTTGTTTCTGTTTATGTTCGACGAGGCTTGTAGGAGGGTCGAAAGGAGGGGAACTGGCTATGGGTATGGGTGCGGGTCGTCGGGCCCTGGGGGAGGCTCCCGTTCGAGCGGGGACGCCCCTCCGACAGCACGCACCCATAGCCTCCTCCGTCCCCCCTATGGGTATGGGTGCGTGTTGTTCGATCGTCACAAAGAGCGGAGGTTCCCCGCGCGCGCTCCGAGGAGGAAGGATCGGAGCGGGAGGAGTTTCGCCAGCTTCGGCCTCATAAGAGGGGGCCTTTGCCTGGCCCGTCCGAGAACGACTTGGGATGAAACGCCGCTCCTGGGGAAACGGTCGGGGCTTCCGGTGACGCCGCAGAGGAGGGGCGCGCGCCCGATCTCGAAGGAGGCAAGGTACCCATACCGCTATCTCTCCCTCTTTTTCATTTTTTGGAGGCCTCCTGGGAGCCACCGCTGGATTCACCTCGAGATTCTGGTCGAACGCACCCTGGGAGAGGTCTGGGGAGTAGCGGTATCGGTGCCGTTTGGTTTCCCCAGCGGGGCGGTGCAGCAAAGAGCAGAGGTTCTCCGCGCGCGCCCGCGAGGAAGGGGCCCAGACCCCATCGTGTCATGAAACAAACACGCTGGAAGGTGTTTCGCTATTTTCGGCACTTGGGAGCCTTACCCATGACCGTGAAATAACCTACTCAGGGTGGAAGGCCGTTCCCAGAGAATGGGTCGGGACTTCTGGGAGTCGACAAACTGAACAAAAACATGACGTCGAGGTCGAGGTGCGGTGCACGCCGATCCTCGCTGTGGGCCGTCGTCCTGTAGATCCGGCGGTGCGCGGAAGCGAGAGGCAGCATAATGGCGAGTGACGGGATAGCCGCCTGCGTCGGGCGGGTGTCGAAGGGAGGTTGAGCGGTGCAGCAAAGAGTCGCAGCCTTAGCTGAGTGGATTCTTCTGGAGGGCCCCCTGGGGGAGAACCCACAGACTTCGACGTGAACACTCAGGATGTGGCTGTGGTCGATTTGGCCGTCATGGACGCCCACACCGACCACAACCAGTACAGTCGGCCCGGATTAGTAGGTCGACCCTGCCAAATCAAGGGTACCTTTGTGTCCTGTGTCTCGCGACCCGTATCTCCTGCGTTCCTAGGGCAATGGGACCCTCAGAAGGGTCTCTCGTGTCCTCTCGCGTGTCCTGTCCAATGAAGTCCGACTGTGCCAAGCTGGCTTCGGTGCTCTGGCGAACGCCGGCATGCGCAAGACGTCCAGGAGGAGGAGGATCAGGAGGATCAGGTTCAAGACGCTGCATAGCGAGAAATGAGAAATGAGAAATGAGGAGGATCAGGAGGATCAGGAGGATCAGGAGGATCAGGAGGAGGAGGAGGAGGAGGAGGAGGAGGAAGGGCGTGCCCTCGACGTGATTGTGGTCGCCTGCTGCCTCCGCAGAGGCGGAGCGGTACGTGCTCGAGGCCCCGCAGGAGGAGGCGGGCGCCAGCCTCTGGCTGGACGCGGGGGGCAACCTGGAGATCGGCGGGCGCGAATCAAACGCACCTGCGCCGATCCCTCCTCCTCCGCCTCCTCCGCCCGGGTCCCGAGTCCGGGGTCCTTCGTCCTTGCATGGTTATTTTAAAGATGTCGTATTGAGCAGGCTCGGTCTAAAGGCTGGTGTAGAGGACTGGTGCACTAATCTGCATAATGTTTTCAATTTTCAGCCGTCCCCGAAAGTCTGGGGAGCTCTTCGCTTCCGGGTCGCGTTTAAGGGGCCCCAGGCTGCTGTGTCTTCATCGAAAAAAATGCACCTGCGCCGATCCCTGCCATGCTCAGTTGCCTGGATACGCCCGTTTTGAAACGCAACACGTCCCGTGTTGAAGACGTCTGTGTCGATACGTTGAGTTTGGGCTCCACGTATTGGACCACGTCTTGGCGAAGGTATCGCGTCGGACCTACGTTTTCAGCCTACGTGTTGGGCTCCGTATCGATACGATACGTATTGCGCGTTGCGTATCAGGTGTTTTTCATGGATTTCGGTCTTTGGGGGGCCCCAGGGCCATCAAACATGGATCCGCCAGGAAAAACTACCCCTGGGAAAGCGGTCGGGACCTCTGGGGCCGCACAATCTATACAGCTGCCTTGAGATCCCTGAGCTTAGAGGTTCTTGGACGTTTCCGCTGCTTCCTGGACGTTTTCTCGCCTCGGGCCTCGGGATGCTCTGCAGCAGCTGCGCCTCGCCGAGAGGCGTCCAGGGGTGCCCGGATCGCCCCGACTGGCTCGAGGCCCGAGTTATGGCCCGAAAACCAGGCTCGGGGGGAACCTTGGGATGCGGGCGTTTCATTGTCGATATGGCTCGAAAAATGCAGCAGAAAAATAGAGTCTGGTGCTCCGGTCGTGATTTTTCGAGATATTGCCATTTTTCGCAACGTTGGATCCCAGAGGCGAACCGTACACCTGCACCGATCCTGACCACACCGATCCTAGGCGTAAGTCGGGCATGTCCCTCTACAGGGGGAATATTCAAAAATAGTCAAGAAAAAGTCTGGGGACTATTTTTTGAGTATTTGTGGGCATCTTTTGATTATTGTTTGGGTTTTTCTTTTCGATTTTTCGTCCAAGATCCCCCTGTAGCGGGACAGGCCCGACCTAACCCTAGGCCCAGGATCGGCGCATGTGCCTCCCTGCCGCCTGGCCAGGGCCGGCAGGACCGGTGCAGGTTTGTCCAATCACGGTGGGGGCGTTCTCGGATAGGATCTGCACAGGAGGCTGCGAGGCCCTGGTGGATTCCTTGCCTGAGGAGGGCGACGGTGACATCCGTGGCCAGGCCTCAATCAATTGGTGCTCCACCAGCTTCCAGACCCTGGGTTCCGTATCCAAGGGTTCCTTTGCCAATGCCCTTGCCGTAATGGAGGATGACAATTAAGAAATGACCGGGGGTCGTGTTCACGCGGCGGCGCCCGGGATGACGATTAGAAAAAACCGGCCGCGGCTTGGGAAACTATTCTTTTTAATCGTTCTCCTCCTGTCAGAAAATGGTGCAGACATAGCGAAAAACTATCTTTTTAATCGTTCTCTCCCATTTTTTTATTATATAATCGTCATCTCTGACTCTGGATCCGCCCTACTTTGGGGGAATTCGTAAGTAGGGCTTGGAATTTCCGCCTTACTTTTCAAGCCCCGCTGATGCCAATTTCCGCCCTACTTTTCTGTTGTTGTTTCCGCCCTACTTCTGTGGATGTTCGCCCCATTTTATGTTGGGTGCAGAAATTTCCGCCCTACTTTTTCGGCCTTTTATAGGTGGATTTCCGACGCAATTTTAAGTTGGAACAAAAAAAGCAAAAGTAGGGCGGATCTGGGTCAGGGATCCCGCATTAGTTGGCGGCCTCCCAGGAGACGGTGCTGCCCGCGTCGCAGGGCTCCGCGGTGGTGGCCCCGGCGCGCGGCCCGGAGGCCGCGGCCGACGCCGCGCGGGCCTGCGCCCTGTGCAGGGTGCAGTGCGATCCGGGCCTCTGCGCCCACCCGCGGGAGCTGTGCTGGCACTGCTGGCACAGGCCACGGGCGGCGAACGTACAGTCGGGGCCCTGAAGAAGGAACCCTTTTCGTTGGGGAGGGGCTCCGTGTTCCTTGATTGCTTCGCAGCTTGCCTTGGATTTTCCTTAGGCTTTCGATCGGAAATCGAAGTTCAACTTATGGGAAAGAGGGGCCTCGTTCCATCTCGTTCCTTATTTGGGGTTCCTTAGGTCAACGCCCCGACGGTATCCAAAAGTACCGCTGCTGGCGCGACAAATTGCCAAACAACGCCCATCCAAAGATGTTGCGTCGACGGGACCAATCCATATCCACGCCTTCGCGGATGCGCAAGGGCGTCGTCGTCGTCGTCGTCGTCGTCGTCGTCGTCGTCGTGGTCGTCGTCCTCAGTCGTCGTTGTTTGTCGTGTCCTTCGTCGTAGTCGCTGTCGCCGTCGCCGTCGTTGTCGTCGTCGTCGTCGTCGTCGTCGTTGTTTGTCGTCCTCCGTCGTCGTCGTTGTTCGTCGTCGTCGTCGTCGTCGTCGTCGTCGTCGTCGTCGTCGTCGTCATCCGTCGTCGTCGTCGTCGTCGTCGTCGTCGTCGTCGTCGTCGTCGTCCGTTGTCGTCTTCGTCGTCGTCGGCGTCGAGGTCGTCGTCGTCGGCGTCGAGGTCGTTGTTCGCCGTCGAACGTATCCATACATATCCATACCATTGCTGGCGCAAGAAACGCCCGTCCAAAGATGGTGCGTCGACGGGACCACCCCTGGGCCCCACACTTCAATGTTGCCTTCGCGGCCGATTTAAGAGTGCAATCATCGGAATAATAGTCACCCATAATTCAAACCCGCAGACACACACCCGCTGTCAACATTCAAGCCGGACGACGCGGGGGGGTCTCAACGCCTCAGCGCAGGTTTCTCCATCTGGTGGGCGCTTGTGATGTCAATGGCGGTATCCACGCCCTCCTCCTCCTCCTCCTCCTCCTCCTCCTCCTCCCTCCTCCTCCTCCTCCTCCTCGCTCCTCCTCCTCCTCTCCTCCTCCTCCTCCTCCCTCCTCCCTCCTCCTCCTCCTCCTCCTCCTCCTCCTCCCCTCCTCCTCCTGCCCCTCACAGGAGGAGGAGGAGGGAGGAGGAGGAGGAGGGAAGAGGAGGAGGAGGAGGAGGAGGAGGAGGAGGAGGAGGAGGAGGAGGAGGAGGAGGATGATGTCCAGCGAGTTTTTCACGCTATGGATGATGTCCAGCGAGTTTTTCACGCTGCACAGCCGGGTACCATCACAGACGAGATTGCGCACGAGCATTTGTTGGCCTCGCAGGACATGCGCGTTGGGGAAGATGAGGTATGCGCTGTTGTTGATCATGACGGTAAAGCAAGAATGGTGCGCTCTCGCCACGGGTACTGGGCTGAACTGGCGGACCACTTTCTTCGTTCGGAAGATTGGACTTGGGAAGTTGCCACCCCGTGTAGCATTGACAGAACATGCAGATATGTGCACCACCTGTACAAGGGCGCTGTCCCCCTGCGATGGCAACGCCGTGGGCTCCAAGGCTGGCGTCGCGATTTTCTCGGGTATGTCTATCTAAACCCAAAGAAAAAATGTTTTGATGGGCCCTCCTTCACGTGCACACGGGCCCACCATCATTATCGTGAAGTTTGTGCTCGTCCATCGTGCCCTACGCGCGCATATGCTAGCATAGCCGCTCGAGCTCTACGTACGTGTTTAAAGTCTGAAAGTAACACTACGTGGACTTTGTGGTCAACGAAATCTTTGGCGTCGTGTGCAAGGCAACGGCTTTCCTCGCTACGTAGGTCTGCCACACCCTCGCTCTGCAGTTTGTGTGGGTGCACGAAATCCTTCATCAGTGGTGGGCGTTTCGACGTCGACTCCTTTTTCCCGAATGCTGATCGTCAGCAAGCACGGTGTGATGTTGAGGACCTGTTGGACCGGGTGCGCCTGGAGAGCGGCAAATCCACCGTTAGTGTCTGCCGGCGGGCCGGGGGTAAAAGTTACCTCGGCGGTAGTACTCGGAACCCGAATGCGGAGGACCCGGTCGCCAATTTCGCCGACATTCTTCGCATGGTCGATTTTGAAACGAATCACAGTTATTACATGCTGGGCAATGTAATTCTATCACGGCGTTGTGGCCTGCCACAAGGCGGTGCATTGTCCGAGCCACTGGCGGCAACGATGATGGGCGCCAGGACCCGGCGCCTTTTTCTGGACCCCGGTTTTCGACGGGAATGCGGTCTACCACAGGGGCTTCCCTTGGAGAGCGTTCTCGCTGGGCTCTTGCATGTTGACGACATGGTGGTTTTGAGCGCTTTACTTTGCACTGGATGTATCCAGCGCGTCGTGTCGCGCATGGTACCGCGAGGGCTTAGCGTAAGTTTGGAGGAGGTGGTTCCAAATTTTCGTTTCTTGGACTCTCACTGGGATATCTCTGGGTGGAACGTACATGTTGTAATGCACAACTCAAACCTGGACTTTGCGGTCGGTGCGTGTGGCGTGCAGCATGTTACCCGTATTGTGCCGCACGTGTTCTCAGCTCTGCTCGGTTCTGCCCCTCTGGTGCAGTACGTGCAATGCCGTGTAGCGCGTATCATACAACTATGTGTATACCCTGCCGACGAACGAGGTGCACTCACGGAGATGATACTGGAATTGCGTCGTCTTGGGTATCCCTACCGTGCGATCGCATACGCTATGTGCCGCGTACGCCCGCACATGCACACGAACACGTTCAAGAAAATGCGGAAACTCACTATTACTTTCGGCAAACAAATCGGGTGATCATTCAGGTGTTGGGCCCGTTTTCTTAGTGTACCACATCATGTTACTCCATTTTGTCGTGTTCGTTTTCGTCAATGAGCTTTCTACGTATTGTCGTCTCCTACATGTGTATGTTCTTCTCCCTGTACTTCTACCTCTATTCCCTCATCGTCGATCTTGTGTGACTGGCACTACTACTGAGCAGCTGTGAGATACATAACGACACGGAACGTATCTTCCGTGTATGGGCACATCGGCAACGCGAGTAATACACATATGGGCAACATTCATATCACCCAACTGTTTGGACTATTGCTCAACGGCACCTTTGTGTTCATAATCTGTGCGTTTGTCCTCAAGGGTTTTTTCTGGCACGCGTACTGTCTGCCCGCCCATATCGATCCTCGTCGACATGGCCGGCTGGTGGCGTTCGCAGTGGGACGGACAGCGCGGTGGCTACCAGTCCGGCTGGGGCAGCGGCGGGTCAGGCGGACCTTCGGGCGACCGCCCCTTCCAGTACGGCCTTCTGGAGGGCCTCACCAGGGCGGACATCGAGTCGTTCAAGGCAGCCAAGCGGCAGGAGGGCCTCAAGGACGCGGTTCGCGAGGTTCTACGTGAGACGCAGGGTGCGGACGCCTCTCGCCACGCTCCTGCCCCCAAGACTGACTTGGAGCAGCTCTTGTCTCTGGCCACTCCGCAGCGCCAGACTCCCAGCCTGCAGGGGGGCGGCGCGAGCTCGGCGGGCCCTGCGGCTCCCCCGAGCGCCGCCGCCGTGGCAGAGGCTTTGGCGGCGAACCCAGAGTTCCTGAGGGCTGTCGGCGGTGGTAAGCGGGCGGAAGCTGCGCCGCCAGCAGCGGCGCCTACAGCCAAGAAGGGGCGCTATGACGTGAAGATGTCGGAGAGGGCGGTGGTGCCGCCGAGCACGGCCATCGTCGTGGCCAACACCTTCGGTTTCGCGGTGCCGGCCGGCCAGGTCACGGCGCTGCAGCTCGTGCAGGCGGTCCTCGGGAAGAAGGGCTCCCAGAAGAAAGTTGCGCAGTACCTCAAGGACAACGGCCTCCAGGAGAAGTGCCACGGGAAGTCCGCGGAGCAGAAGGCGAGGGCGGCCGTCCTGCACCTGGCGGAGAGTTTCCTCGCACAGCTTCGTGAGGAGAGCCGCGAGGAGCAGGAGCCGGAGGTGCCCCCGCCGGTGCGCCTGTGACTGGACTCTGCCATACCGCCCACTGTGCCACCAGGGCGGCTGCATGTCCTGCTGGACTTCCTGGTGTGGTTTGTGCCACGGTTCTGCTTAGCTTGCTTGGGTGTGGCAGCTCTGCACTACCTGCTCCCGTGGATCCTGCAATGTCTGTGCGATTTGGCAACTGGGTTATCACAGCCATTTAGCGTGGAGAACATGCCGGAAGCACCGTGGCAGATGCAATACCCAAATGCAGCCATGCATGTCTTCGATGCCCGGGGCGGGGGCCCCCCCCCGGCAGAGTCCTACAGCTACCATCAGCTACCAGCACCAGTCCTCTCTGCCGTACTTCGCCTACCTTTGCGGAGGCTGCGTCCTGATGGGTGTCGGGCCTTTCTTCCGCTTCCTGTTGGCTACAGGTACGTCTTTCCTGGCATCGGCGTTTCATCGGCACCTGTTGGGGCACGGTGCCGTCGAGGGTAACTACCGTGGCGGTGCATACTCAAGCCCCTATGGGATGTGGCATCCACCCGGCTATGCCTGGCCATACCCTGGCGGCCACACCAATGTGATGATGTACCCTCCAGTGCAAACCGGATCGCCGGCGACGGCGTCCCCGAGGCTTGGGTGGTGATCTGATTTTGTGAGCCGGGGTTAGCTCTGCATAGGCCTAGAGGTGTCGAAAGTATAGGGGCTTCCAGTGCCGCCCTTCCCCCCTCCCCCTCTTCCCCCTTTCCCGTCCTCTTTTTCCCCCCCGCCCGTCTCCCAGTGCGACCCGGGAAGGGGATCATCTTTTGAATGTGTTTTCGTCCCCCATGGGTTCAGCATTTCATATGTGCATTTCTTGCATGCGTGCTCTTGCACTTCTCAGGCCACGTTGCGGGAGTCACGGATTAGCTGAATTTCGCATCTTCGTGCCTGTGTCTTGCATGCGTGTTGTTGCAATTCATGAGTCGCGTTGTTGATGCAATGTCAGGGGCATCTCTGCGCGTGTCTGCATTTAGCCTCAAGGTTTAGGCTGGCGCTCAAGGGGCCAGATTTCCCGCACACCCGGGTGGGTCTTGAGGTGAGAAGGAGCGCTTTCTGTAGCCGCTCAGGAAAAGAGCTTGGAACACGAGGAGGAGGAGGAGGAGGAGGAGGAGGAGGAGGAGGAGGAGGAGGAGGAGGAGGAGGAGGGGAGGAGGAGGAGGAGGAGGAGGAGGAGGGAGGAGGAGGAGGAGCTGGCGAGG